TATATGAGGTTATCATCATTGGTCTTCAGTTGAGGAATTCTTCATCACAAGTTGTCAACAGCAATGACGTTTAGTGAGTCAATTCATACTAAGGATAATGTGAATTTCCATGTATGATATTTCAACGATGTTTTACAAAGAATTGCCTCTTAATGAACGATTTCGATTCACACTATGTAATATCATAATGTGTCCTAATGAGTCAACCAATAGCATCAGATACTTTAGATAACAGAGTTCATTGATTCTAAACGTTTGTGTTTGAATTAACGATTAGATAATCTTGAATCCACATGAGGATCTTTGACATTGGCTTCATAGATGTTTCTCGACATTTATGGTTTCTTCATAGTCGCTCACTTTCGTACAATTTTGCGATGCAGATCAGTTTCGTCATTCGCGATGCGATGCGTACGTTGATAACGTATTCCGTTTATTCTTTCGTCTCTTCACCGAGTACAGAAGTTCAACTAGAGGCCAAGCTTGATACGATTTCAATACTAATCATTTATTATCTAATTCTAATAGAGTCATTTTTTACCAAGTAAATTCTCATACTTTTTCCTAGAACAGATGGATGCGAGAGTCGTGGATGTGATTGACATTTTTTTAAAAAATCAATTTTCGATCCGAAGATCGGGTTTAAAACCATTTGCTCCGATACTAAATTGTAACACCCTAATCCGTCCAGCTCTGCAGCCCCTTTCGGAGTAAAGTATTAACTTGGTTTTCGTATAATTTAAAACTTTTCAAATAACTTTATTCATCATAAATAAAATTTCATACATAACAATAGGAAATACGGAGTGTTTAATAACATGCAGAAGTGATTTTTAAACATGTCTCATAACAAACATAATTATTTATTTTGTCAGTAAATCCACCACGACTATCTCGCTCCTTCTGCTTCCAGGAATATGCCAATCATTCATTCTGTCTACCTGCGTGTAGCAAATAAAACACACTACACGCTCAACGGTGAAGCTGAGTAAGCATATCTAAAGAGTCGAACATCCACATAAATTGAATATCAATTCATAATCAACCATTTGATATCATGCACACAATATATGATTCAAACATTCATGATGTTCTCAACATTTTATTCCAAGTCATTTCATGATAAATACATTATCCAATATCTCAAAAGTGCTCTTAAATTATTCTTAATCTAAGGCCAAATCATTTCATAACAAGTTCTTAGCTATTCCTAGTCTAAGGCAATATTTCTAACCAGACCCTTAAACTATAAATAGTTTATTAATGCACAACACAATAATCGATAATCCACCCTATGAGTCATGTGGATTAGGTACCAAACCGAATAGTGATCTGTTGGGTGGGTGGTATCTGTTCTAGATCCCGTACGTACGTTTTAACCCGAAATATAAATTGGTCAAAGAGGTATATCTTAGAGTTCTTCTAGATATCCTTAATAATCAATATACAAGTGGGTATATCTTAGAGTTGCTACTAAAAAAATTGCGAAGAGAGGGAGACAAGTTCGCCTCTAATTGTACAGAATCCGCCTCTAATTAAGATTTAGAGTGGAACTAGAGGCAGACTCACTTCTACCGCTAAACACGCTGCTGCTATTTTTAGAGGCGGAAAAATCCACCTCTAAATTAGAGGCGGACTTTTCTGCCACTAAACTAGAGGGTGACTTCTCTGCCGCTACATATTTGCTTCATTAGAGGGGGAAAACTCTGCCTCTAATTTTCTATTATTTAAAAAAAATTAATTTTATTCCAAATACTATATACAAGCATACAAAAGGGAATTCAAACATGACATTCAACCATTACACAATACCATAATCTCAAAAAGTAATAAGTCAATCAATATCAAACAATAAGTTCAAAAATACATAAAATGAAGTACCTAATCTAATAGAAAGTCATAAGTCACATACAACATCAATAACATTTTAAAAAAAAGGTTATTACATAAATCTCCTTTGAGTGATCGTTAGTCCAACTCCTATTTGCATGTCTCCAAGTGAAACAAATTAACTCTTCGAGATCTAATGAACGATCAAGAGCAATAGCCTACAATTGAAACAAATTCAATAATTATTCAAGCATACTTTATACAAGACATATAAGAAATAGATTTAATAATTATTACAAGACATACAAGTTGACTCCTTCTCCAGCCCCCAAAACAATGGTCTTAAAAACATTGGACATTATGTGCAGATTACTAGAGACCAATCAATGAGTGTACTCTATGAGAGGTTTGTTCAAGATTCAACTATATAGTGTCTCAACATGGTCATGCAAATGGATATCAAGAAATAGGGTTGCTTTAAAGTTTTCTATGTTTTCAAGACACAAGCAATAGGTTTTACATATGTTCCATTTGGGCTAGAAGCTAATTCAGATAATTGGCACTACCTAGTACTTAGAGCATGAATCTCAAATAGACGAAATAAACAGATAGAAAATCACAAACGTTAACAAAAATCAAAGCATTCACTCGTAGTTGGATTCACATAAAAGACACACCTTTAGGACTGGAATTTCAATGACACATGCACACTCAATCACCTCAGCACCAACATGTTATGTACAAATTGTAGTATCAAGTCAAACTTTAACCATGTAGTCCTGCAAAGAAAATGACAGAAAGAAATGCCCAATAATAATTTCTTTTAAATTTTCGAGTTTAATATTTTTAATATATATTATATTATCGTATTTCTATCGAAAACAGGTGGCCGTGTGGTTGATTGCCAAGCCCTTCACCTATACCTGCGTGCAAATTTCTAGAAGTGGAAGCCATGATCTTTTAACTCTCAAACGGTTAAGTTTGGACGAGAGTTAGGCTGTGATACCAATTGTGGGGGTGAATAGTGTTTACTCGAAAAGTCGTTGGAATAAAAATTTAAGAGCGTGAAAAGCGTAAAGGGAGCACACCAAGATTTACACTGGTTCACCATAACGTGTAGCTACATCTAGTCTCCCGAGAGACTCTCTCGAGCTACACTACTTCCGTTAAGCTTACAGGTGCTTAACAAACCGTTACAACCTGAGAACTTGAGTCCCACGAGCCTCAATACAATTATATAGGAATTTTATCAATATTCAATATCAATTAAGGATCAAAATTAGAAGAATCATTTTAAATATAAAACAAAAAATCTATACTATTAACAAAACCAAAAGAATTGGGTTGGAAAGAAAAACTAAAAAATAAATGGTAAAAAAAGTAGTTTTCCGCCCATAGTAATAAATGATTTCATGAATTGATAACTTTTGGTCTTCTCCATAAAAAACGCTAGGGGTACACCAAAAGTGTACCCCAAATGTACATCACCCCCTTTTTCACCACCCATTTTTATTTTATTTTTTTGAATTTCTTGCTTTTTTTTGTGGACAAGGAGGGGGTGGGGGACAAATGGGGTACACATTTGGTGTACCCCTAGAATTTTTCATATTAAAACCAGTGAGCATTGAATGAACCAAATATGCCGTGCATTAAATGAACAAAAAAATGACGTGCCCCTATTTTTTTCCGCCCAAAGTTTATCACAGTGGATTGATGCATCCGTATTAATCCCGTATTAATCAACAGAGCATGGGAAAGTGGAAAAGTCGTTGGCATCTACTCCATTACTTTTCTCTTTCTCCAGAATGTGCGGGACTTTGAACAACGCATCTTAAGAATGGGAGTTAATTACTCTATATGAGATGCAAACTTCCGACGGGATTAATACAGATGCACCAAAAGTTATCAATTCATTAAATCATTTATTACTATGGGGGAAAACTACTTTTTTTACCATTTACTTCCTCCATCCCACTCTCTTTGTCCACTTACCTTTTTAGCACACCATCCAATGCACTTTTTTAATCCATTTTATCTTGTAATTTGTATATTAAAAAATTATAGATTTTATATATTAATAATCTATATGTTAAGACAAATCAAACAAGATCACACATGACTATATTTAGGCTTACACATTGAGAGAATTTGATGAATCAAAGTGCTTAGATGAACAGTTCCAAAAATCAAAAGTGGACAAAGAGAGTGAGACGGAGATAGTATTTTTTAGTTTTTCTTTCCAAACCAATTCTTTTGCTTTTGTTAATAGGGGTGGACACGGTACGGTTCCGGGACGGTTCCGGTACCGCCACCCCTTGGTACCGGTACCGGTACCGGACCGGCTGGTACCGGTTCCGGTTCCGGTACCGCCGGTTCCGGTACCGTTTCGGCCACCCCTAATTTTGTTTTTTTTTTTTGCTTTTTTATTATATTTTTAAAATGTAAAATTGTAAATGTGTAATTGTTAAAGGAAATGATGAAATAAAAAAATCTAAAAATGAAATTGATAAAGGAAAGAATGAAATAAAAATAAAAAATAAAAAAAACGGTAACGGTACCGGAACCGGAACCGCCGGTGCCGGTACCGAAAAATGGGCACCGGAACCGGTACTGGATTGGGCGGTACTGGTACCGGTTCCCGGAACCGGTGGACCGTACCGGCCGACGGTAACGGTACCGGTACTGTACCGGTACCGTGTCCACCCCTATTTGTTAATAGTACAAATGAATTCAGTTTTGGAGGGTTGGAATTTGGAAATGGGTTTCTTAAATGCTGGTAAAGTTGGGATAAGACACCCAGCCCTAAGAAGCCCCCGTATTTTAGGTTAACCGAGAAAATGAAGAGAAGATATAGGCGCTAAGTCTGGAAAACTGCCGACCCTAAGAGACTAGCGAATGAAGCAGGGATTATCTTAATTGTCGAAGGTATTCCTCTTGAATCTTTGATTCTTAAACTTTTAGTTTCTGTCTTTCTTGATTGTTTTTATTGATTATAATTGTTAGTTCTTTGGTTTTTGACAGTTGAGAATAGAAATTGTAGCAATTATTTCCAATACAAAGAGTTGACTTGTACGAGACATGAAGAGAATATAGGGATTTATTGAACTGAGATATTAGTGTTATCTACTTATTGAAATGTCTAAATGGTGAAACATAGAAAATAAAGCAGGGCGAGTGTTTGTGGGTATTTAATGGTTGAAATTAACATTGATTTTCTATTTTCTAATGAGGCTTAATTTAGGGTATTTAGGCATGATGTCCAAAATTCAATGTTATGCATTAATATTATTTTGGTAGGAAATTGATTTCATGAAAAAATATATGAACTTGTACACGATTATTATTATGTGGTCAGGAAAATACCTATGTGGATATGAAAAACGTCAAAAGGAAAAAGATTTGATTAATTAACTTGGGTATAAANGTTGAGAATAGAAATTGTAGCAATTATTTCCAATACAAAGAGTTGACTTGTACGAGACATGAAGAGAATATAGGGATTTATTGAACTGAGATATTAGTGTTATCTACTTATTGAAATGTCTAAATGGTGAAACATAGAAAATAAAGCAGGGCGAGTGTTTGTGGGTATTTAATGGTTGAAATTAACATTGATTTTCTATTTTCTAATGAGGCTTAATTTAGGGTATTTAGGCATGATGTCCAAAATTCAATGTTATGCATTAATATTATTTTGGTAGGAAATTGATTTCATGAAAAAATATATGAACTTGTACACGATTATTATTATGTGGTCAGGAAAATACCTATGTGGATATGAAAAACGTCAAAAGGAAAAAGATTTGATTAATTAACTTGGGTATAAATTGCATCACACTTTATTTCTTCATTTTCATTTATGTGTTTCCCTATTTTGGTAAATGATTTGTGTCCACATAACCTAGGTGGGTGCAATTGTGTCTATTCATTGTTTTTATTGGCTTTATGCTATCATGCATATTATCTTTCACAAGCGCATCTTTTTGCTTTCCATGGTACTCCTAGGGTCTTGGAGACAGTTACTAATGTGTATCCTTGGAAACCCTTAGGATTGGGGGAAATTCTAGACAAAAAACAGTAAAATGAAACATTGCAGACTGTGCATTAGTCTAGGAATCAAAAAAGGAGCTGAGCTATTCTGGAAGTGTGGTACCAGATTTGTAGTTAAAGTTAAACGGTTTTGAACATTTTTTGAATGCAGCCGTGCCAGTTTCCATAAAAATATTTTGGGAGAAACCAAAAGCTTAATTTATCACTAGAGAGGAGGCAGATTGATTCGATACATAGATAAATTACAGAGATCATTGATTGAATGGGATGATAAGAGGACATCAAGATCTATTTGGTTCAGGTACTCTATGACTCAATGCTAACTATGATAGAACAATTTAATATTCTCTGTATTTATTTTTCCTATAATTTTTTAAAAATTATTTTTATAATGTTTTGTGGGTCCAGAGTTCTCTTATTGCACAGGACCAGTACATATCAGGAGTGCCCTGGAAACAACTAATTAAGAGGAAACACATGATGGGAAAGGAGAAGCAAAATACTAGGCATAATAAGGGGGACAATATTTCTGACGCAGTTACTAATGAGAATGGTAAGAAAGTTGTTGTTTGTGCTCTTCCTTGTTTTTCGGAATCTCTCATTAAGAGGAAAAGAAGCTCAACGGAAATNAACTATGATAGAACAATTTAATATTCTCTGTATTTATTTTTCCTATAATTTTTTAAAAATTATTTTTATAATGTTTTGTGGGTCCAGAGTTCTCTTATTGCACAGGACCAGTACATATCAGGAGTGCCCTGGAAACAACTAATTAAGAGGAAACACATGATGGGAAAGGAGAAGCAAAATACTAGGCATAATAAGGGGGACAATATTTCTGACGCAGTTACTAATGAGAATGGTAAGAAAGTTGTTGTTTGTGCTCTTCCTTGTTTTTCGGAATCTCTCATTAAGAGGAAAAGAAGCTCAACGGAAATATGTGACACACTCATAAGTAAGACAGTGAAGGAAGTTGCTGTTGTGTCTCCGTATTCTGTGAAATCAATAAAGGGTAAGTCTAAGAGGAGAAGAAGCTCAACAGAAGATAGAGTTTGTGACACAGCTGTGAGTATGATAGAAAAGGAACTTTCTGTTGCGAAATTTCCCAAGGGTAACATTATTGAGTGCATGAATAGTGAATCTGTTGTTGAAGTGGAAGACAAGAACGAGCATACGAGGAAAAGAAGCTCAAGGAAACGAGAGGGCAAGCCAAAGGTCAAAACGGTCATTCGTTTTCCATATTTGAATAATGACATTCAAAAGAATACTAAAAATGAACTTGTTGTGCCGTCAGTGGAGAAACATGTGGAGCTGGACGATACAAGAAGTTTACCCGTTGAAGATGCAAGACAGGAAGCACGGGTCGGCAATTCTACAAGGGAAAAAAAACTGCATGGCTTCTCTACAATTGATGAAATTTGCTCTAATTTTGCATACACTGGCATAGAGAATGACAGTTTGTTTGGGGCTTCAAAACCTTCTTTATCTGGAAAAAGTACGTGCCATTCATTTGTTCCTTGCCAAAGGAGATCTTCTGGTCAGGTTTGTTTGAAGGGGGATAAGGGGGTTCAGAGAAAAGTGCACGAAAATGTACGTGTAATTTCTCCTTACTTTCTAAATTCACAGGCTGGTGAAATAATAAAAAATGAAGCCGCTGATAATCCTTTTCATGGTAGTGACTTAGTCCAACACGTTGGTGAAAATAAGCCTGTTGTAAAGGACATGAGCTCCACTCGTCTTGAACAGGAAGCACGGGTAGACAATTCTACAAAGGCAATGAAACTGCATGGCTTCTCTACAATTGATGAAATTTGCTCTCATTTTGCATACACCGGCGGAAGCTTTGTGAAGGGAAAACACGGGGCTGAAGATGGTAGGGATTCTTCTCAAAGGATCACAATGCTAGATAATGAAAAATTGATCGTGCCTTCAAAACTTTCTTTATTTGGAAAAAGAAACCCCCATTCATTTGTTCCTTACCATAGGAGATCATCTGTTCAGGTTGGTTTGAAGGGGGACAAAAATGTACGCGCTGTTTCTCCTTACTTTCAAAATTCACGGGCTGGTGAGATAGTTAAAAATGAACCTGGTAGTAATTCTTTTCATGAGGGTGACTTATTCCAACATGAAGGTGAAAATAGGACTACTCTCAAGGGCATGAGTAGCACTCTTCTCGAGCGGGAGGCGCCGGTGGACCATTCTACATCGGCAAAGAAACTGCATGACATCTCTACAACTGATGAAATTTTCTCTCAATTTGCGTACACTGGTGGAAGCTTTCCTAAGCGAAAACATGGAGCTGAAGATGTTTGGAATTCTTCTAAGAGGATCAGAACTGTAGAGAATGACAAACTGAGAGGGGTTTCGAAAGCTTCTCTTATTGGAAAAAACAAGCCCTATCCATTTGCTCCTTGCCAAATGACATCCTCTGGCCAGGATGGTTTGAAGGGGGATACGGGGATTCAGAGGGAAGTGTACAATACTGTACGTGTTGTTTCCCGTTACTTTCAAAAGTCACGGGCTGGTGAAATAGTGAAAAATGAAGATCAGCATCCCCTAGTTGAAACACAAAACTCTTTTAGAAGAATCCCCCCCTGCTCTCACAATTTAAAGCAGAAACAGGAGAATGTAATTAATGATTTGTTGGAGGGAAAAACTGTTTCAACAAAGCCTAAAAAGGGCTCTGCTAAAACTAAACGTGCAGTGTTTATCAGGCCAACTCTTTCTGCTGCTCAAAAACGTAGTGAAGCTTACTTAAGGAGGATGCCGGATAACAAGTGGAAACCACCAACTTCCCTCAGCAAACTTCTTCAAGAAGATTATGTTCATGATCCATGGAGGGTGCTGGTGATTTGCATTCTTCTTAATCGGACAACTGGTAAACAGGTAAATTTCTTCATATCATCTTATTCTTTTTACTCATTGAGGTTTGTTACTTTTTCAAGAGAAGTTGTTCTTTTAGCTTGAAAATTCTATATTTACTATTATTGTCACTTAGTTGCAACTGGTGCTTCCAAAAGGATTCTTGCATGTGTATGTAGTGAATGAGCAACGGATCAGCTTTACTATGTTTCCAAGATGCAACATAAACAGTAAAAAGATTTTAAAATTTTTCCAGGGGGGATGTTCTAGTTGTGCGATACGTTCGTCATTGGTCATCAATGGAAAATTGCATATTGATTTTTACCAAAGTTTATACTTTCCTTTTTTGGATGCTCTTTGCGATAGGAGAGCTAGGATTGGAGTAGTTGGGTAGGCACTTTGGGCTAGGATGTAGTTTTACGTACAGGTTGTGTGCTTTGTATGCCATGTTTGCTCTCTTACGATCTTTTCTTATCCATGCTGCTTGAGCCGGGGGTATTTTGGAAATAGCCTCTCTACTTTCGAGTAGGGCCAAGGTTTGTGTACACACACCCTCCCAGACCCTACTCACGTGGGATCCAATTGGGTTCTTGTTGTTGGATGCTCTCTGCAATACATTTGCTTGCTTTTGACTGTGATACTTTGTTGGCACAAACTGAACTCTTCTCAAGTGTTCATTATTATCTTTCAGTTTTTGGCTAGTCATTTGGCAAACTATAAGTTTGTTTGGAGCATTTTGAGAGGCAGATCCACATCTAGTCTCACTGCTCATGAACCTCATAGACCTCCATGAATGTCCTTACCCCAACACACACATATACATATATAAATAAGGTATGGGGTAATGTAGTGCATATATATATATACATGCATCTCGATATATAATGCAAGTGGGAGATTGTTGGAGTAACCACGGTTGGGAGGGCAGCGGAAATACAAAAATTTTAAACTCCCAATAGTGATTACTAGACCAAGAACACGTACTAAAACTATAGGTAGAGATAGAAATTTATAACTTCTCCGATTAGCGGTAATGATGTTGAATCGGGGAAAGGCGTTGAATGAGCAAACGTAGCCGTTCAAGCGTCCGGCCTCCAACTTTGACACAGGAACAATCTCCGAAGTCTACTATAATCTTTATGCTAGTAAAGATTATAATAGTATTTTTAATATAAAGATTATTTAAGGGATAATATTAATCTTGTATATTAAATAGTAGAAAATATATCAATAATGTTTTAAAGAAAATATTATAACAATTTTCTACAGCCAAAATAATTTTGGTACCCAAAACTATTCTCTCTTTCCTCTCCTTTCTCTTGGCCGAATTGATCAAGTGTGTGGTGTGAGTGAAAAATCCTTTTATTTTATCAAGGTGATAAAACATCAACAATAACAAAATGCCAAAGTGATTTTGTCCAAAGCTTCTCCTCCACACATTACAAAGTGGGAGACCCTCCACTCAAAGCCATGTACGAAAAGTAGGGGGATGAATTTAAAATTATTCTCCTCTCAAATGTTTAAAGTGTATTTTACTTGACATCAATAATTTTTATGATTTAAAATAAAATACCCAAAACATTTTAAAACAAGTATATAAAATTTACTTTAAAATAGTTTTTGTCAAAATAATTATTTTCATAATTAAAATGACACTCCAAAATAAAATGTACACAATATAATATATAAAGTAATATGTATATACATATATGTACATGTTATTAAGTATATTACATATATATGTACCCATGCACATTATATGTATACTTATATATATGTGTGTGTGCCGTGTACAAAGTATATACATACATATATATTATATTAAACATTTTACTTTACTATTTTACAATATACAAATTAAATATTATCTCTTCTTATAACCCTACTCTTTAAATTGTTTAAAGTGTGTGACCCATATAGGCACTTATAAAACTGGCCATAGTATTGACTCTACATCAATACTATAAGAAATAAGCGGTATCTAGCAACACATTATTACCCCCAGATTATAAGTTCAGACGTATGCTCCGTCAAAACCTTTCTACGACTAAGACTTTGTATAACGTAGATCCTTTTGTCCTAATGTCTTAGCTTAGTGCAAGGGATATATAAAACAGCCAACGTGTAACCATTAAGTTATTTACTGATCAACAAGTCTGACTGATGAGAACAGATGTCTAAACTCATCTCAGCACCACCATGCATTTCCTCAGTCGTACTTATATGACTTATCAGTGGGCCCCTACAAGACATTGTTCTGCTTAAGTAGCAGTGACAAATTCTTTGTACGTAATCTACGTCTTCAAATATGTGCAGCGGCATGCCCAATACAGAGCCTGTGTACCATCCTTATTTCATACGGCTTAGGACAATGAATCAAAGCATGCGGGTTCACACATTCGAAGAACGTAATACTTGAAGTCTGAGGACCGTTATACCAATAGTCACATTAAGGACACTTAGAGCATAGACTAAAAGTCTAGGCAATGTCCTTAAGGTGGGTCAGGTCTGGCATCCTATTATTAACGATAATATCTGCCCGAGAGTAGATGCGAACACTCCGTCATTGACCAAGAGACTAGGTCAAACATCTAACTCTCACTAGTCTCACGCGCACTAACGATATCCCACTCTCGTTAATGCTTCGACTATAGACCGTTTAGAATTATACTAAGTGACAAGATGTCAGTCTCAACATCAGAAGACTCATTCTGATAAACTTCTTATAATATAATTCTAGGAATGCAATTAAGAGTTTACATTAGCATGAGATGTTTGTAAACTTAATGCATCTGCCTTTACATGATATAAAATATCTAAGATGTTACAACAGCAGTTGGCCATAAGGGCACCAACTCCAACAATCTCCCACTTGCACTATGGCCAATCTGGCATCGGTCGAATGCCCATTGTGGTAAAGGAGTTAACACAGATACACAACTCTAGAGATGGAAAGAATTCTGGGCATGAAAAAAGACACACTACCTTTCAAGTACTTGGGAACCCCAATATGTAAAGGGATGCTTAAGAAAGGGGACTGTGGAGATCTAATCTCTCACTTTAGCAACTACATTGAGAAATGGTACAGCAAGACCCTCAGTCAGATGGGGAGATTAATTCTTATTAAACATGTCTTGTCTACCATTCCTCTCCACCACATGGCAGTCCACTCTTTACCCAAATCAGTCATAAACAAGCTCCAACAGAGGATGGCAAATTTCTTTTGGGGACACACCGATAACAATAAGAGATACCACTGGACAAAATGGGAGAACATTTGCCTACCCAAGGAAGGAGGACTGGGAATCAGAGACTTAGAGGAGCTGCAGTTTGCCTACTCTATCAAACTTTGGTGGAACTTCAGATTCAACAACAACAGTTGGGCCCAATTCATGAGAGCAAAATACAGTACTCAGAACTTCTCTGAGAAACTAACTGATTCCCCCATCAGAAAAAGGATTTGCAGAATTAACGACTGAGCTGAAGAATTCATGGGAGACATCATACCTTACCAAGAAGATGAAGATGAAATAGAGGTCGTCCCCATCTCCATAAAGGAAGCCTATAATCAGTGCAGAAACCACACAACTCTGCAAATCAGTGATAAATTCAACTGGAACAAATTGCAGCTACCTAAGTTTCAGCTCTTTCTTTGGAAAGTTAACAACAACATCCTCCCTTTTCCTGAAAATACTTGCAAATTCCACTATAGCTATCCCTCCCAATGCCCTACATGCCTACACAATGATGGTGATATGAATCACTGCCTTCTTCAATGCCCCCAAATACAGAAGATATGGGAAGATATGAGACTAATTTTTGATGGCCCTAAAATCAAAACAGGTATCACCCTCAAGCAACACATTTTGGAGTGGAATCTCAAAACACAACATGGCACGCTTAAAGGCAACATGAGAATAATTCTTCCTGGAATTATAGCTTGGTCAATTTGGAAACACTACGCAGCTATAATGTTCGGAAATGAGGAAATAAACTTACCTCTTATCAAGAGGAACATCAAGCTGGACCTATGTAACTGGTGTTGGAAATTCAGAAAAAAGGGCTGGATGATTCAAGATAAGAACCTCACTGATCAAGGATTCCAATCTTTCGCCCTGGAAGGTACCTTCATTCGCAAATGCGCAGGAATGGAGAAAGAGAAACCTCGGCCCTAGGATTTGCTGCCATTGGAGATTGTATCCATTGCCTGCGATTAAAGATGGTTGTCCCACGTTTCATTCCTGAAATATGCCTTTTATTTTTCATGTCTTTAATTTCTACTTTCGGGGCAAGGTCTTGTCCTCCTCGAAGGTGCGTTACTTTTGTACTTCTTTTCTGATCTCTTTTAATAAAAATTTTATTTAAAAAAAAATAAAATAAAAAAATATATATATTTATATATGCATCTCAAAAAATGTCTCTAGAGAAGAGGGGAATTCCGGAGACCGGTGAGTAATTCTGGTGACCCTACTTTAATTCAATCAATCCGCCAGGATGCTCCACACTCTTTTGAGAGGTGCTTACAAGAGACAATAAGGCACTGTGTAAGATTGCGATGGAGGGAGCTTCAGGAGCAATGTTAACCTTCTCTAGTGAAGATATTATGATGCTGGTGGCTTAATTAAGATTTGGAGTTATAGGCAAATTTGCTAAACACATCTCCAACATCAACATTGACGACTCTCTTAAGCATGCCATGTTTGGTGGATTTAAGGTTAGCTTTTAGTCATTATCAAGCTCTTATAAATTTTGAAAGGGTAGAAGATTACATTCAATTTCTGAGAACTTGGAGGGTAGGTGAGGGACGACTATATCTAAGGAAATGGTCCTGCAGTTATCTTCAAGAGGACAACCCTTTCTTCCCAAGTATGATAACTTTCAAGAAAGTACCTTTCCATCTTCAAGAGGCCAAAGCTCTCTTCTCTCAGCCATGTCTAGTGGGAAACCATCTTAAGATGGATGGGAAGATGCTGCAAGGCGAATATATGAAAATAGCACGATTCCTTGTTGATTTTGGGAAAAGA